AAAATATGAATGACAAATTTCGTAACTTCTTTTGGAGGGAAAATAAATGAGATTTTATTAATTAGGTTTTATAAATACATGATTACACTTAATTAGGTTTTATGAATGATATTATTATTATTATTATTATTATTATTATTATTATTATTATTATTATTTTAATTTGTATTTCATTAAACAATTTTCTTTAGAAACAATTAGTAAATAGTTTGAGGACGACTATTCACAAACGACAAGAACCCAAATCGATGGAGGACGCTTAATCGATCGGCCATATCGTCCCGTCAAAATCAAACTCAAATTCAGAATCTTCGACTTCCTCTTCTCACAATTTGGTGGTTGGATCCGCCGGCGACCCCCGACCGAAGCTACAGGCGCGAACGCGAAACCCCTGCCAATGAGGATGTAAACTTTGGCCTGAGTTACTGTTTGAGAATTCAAAAGTTCACAGCGACCTAACTGTAATTTAAAAAATTCTAATAGATTATAATTTAGGTCTTGGATCCAATTTATAATTTACACAAAGTTTAATAATCATACAATAGTGTTAATTAAATGCATAATATCATATTTGGAATTCCACAAAAAATATATACGCACTGTAGAAACTAAATATTTTGGTTCGAAATTATATGTTTTGATTCGATTATATGTTATTACTCCCAATCAAATTATTTATGTTCGAAGTGAAAATTTTATTTTTATATCTAAAATATATTTAATTTCAGCAAAAAACAGTACATAAAATATAAAAAATATTAAAAATACTAAATATATTAGTATAATATAAATAATATTTTATTTAAGTTATTATGGTCATTTCGATTAAATTATAAATTGATTTGAGAGAAGAATTCGAATGATTCAGACTCCACAGTAGCGACCGAAACTGTGTACAATATGATTAAACGAGTTGCACATTAATAACAGTTAGACTACAACACAACAACTAAACCACAAGTTGTGGGTCAAATAATTATATGTCAATTCGATTATTTGTTATTTAATTTTAAAAAATTGGTTATTTCTATATATAAAAAAAAAAATGAATATAAAGTACTAAACGAACATATCATAATATCAAAATATATCGATGCCAACTGATTAAAAACATTGTGTATATATTCACCGATTTTAAAAAATATCGACACCAACCAACTACACGTTAATATATACTTTCATACAGTAATACGAGATTTTTATTTTTTTTTTAATATAAACATCCCAGTGTGGGATGGGGGGTTGAGGCTACACCCCCAACCTGTGAATATAACGGCACCGAAAGGGCTAATAAGTCAATGGTCTACATCCATGTCGAAGATACATAAAGTAACATCAAAAGCAGAAAACCAAAAAGTACAAGGATCACAAAAATATCCAATATGGCTCTCGAATGAAGTCCTCAAAAGAGGTCGTCCTGGTCAGAGTGACCTGGCATGGGGTCCAAAATGACCAGTCTAGTCAGGGGCAGGTGGTGGCGGTCGACCGAATCTGAAGAATGGGTACTCTAGCTGGTCTATCCAAATGAGCGTCCGAAGCCAGAGGGGAATGTCCACAGGATGAAGGGTGTGTCTCTAGGGTATAGATGCCCCCGTG